ACACACACACACACACACACACACACACACAGACACAGACACAGAGGTCAATCCATTGCCATCACATTCCTTCATCTCTATGCCGCTGTTTGATCTCCAGTGTACAGTTTTGTTCAGAAGTCCTGTTTCTGCCCGAGCCTCTTTTGATCGTCCTGTGCTCTCCTTTTTGTTTATCGAGCTTACACTGCGATCAAAGGTTGTCCAGATTCGCCACGTGAATGTTAACACCACAACTAATCCCATCGACATTAAGATATCAAACTCTGATTTATTCCTCCTAAGCCAGACAGTGAGAATTGTTAATATTTCATTCTCCCTCTTTGAGATGAACAGACGCTGCAATAACCTCATTTATACCAGACGCCGATTAATATGTATTCTCGGGCTCGGTCTGTGATGCAGCTAATGCATCGAGACATCCTCGCGTTACAACTTTCAGGTTGTGTGTGTACATGTGTGTGTGTCTGTAGTCTGGTGGGGATTTAATAAGATGTTGCACTGTATGTGTAATGCAGGATGACGAGTGTAAGCTTTGACATGTTGACATTTCTCAAGATGAAAAAATATTAAGATTGTGTTTTTGAGTTGCATCTCTCAATTGTCGATGTCTGCTGGAATAAAAAACTACGATGTGTCTGTGTTCAGGAGATGACGAGGCCACACGAAAAGGCCAAGTGCTGACCCTGCTGGCTGAGCAAGCTCTCCAATGTCCGGACTTCAAGACCTCTTACATCCACTGTCAGGACCTCATGGCTGCAGGTAGGTACCTTAGATGTCGCTGGAAAACTGTGCAGCATTACACAGCCGGGTGTAGACGTGTCACAGAAGTGCACTTAGGCTTGTAGAGAAGCTAATGTGACTTTCCCTCTCACCTGTCTGCTGTTTTTCTCTTTTGACTCAGCGATAACATTCCAGGAGGGAAATGCTGTTTGAAAAATGATTTGAATTTTTACCAGCAGCCAGTCGCTCCCTTCTAATCTTATGACAAGCTCCAGGGTCAGTGTCATAAAAGTGTTAAAATGTCACACATCCTGTTTTGCTGTCCGTCAGCCCTCAGTTAGCTGTGGTTGTGCACAGAAAACTAAGCTGTAGTTTCATGACCTTGGTTGATAGAAGCTCCCACTTTTTTCCCCACTGAAAAATCATATAATAAGATCCACTCACATACTGAGTGAGCTCAGCACAGTCAGATGTGAGCAGCACTCAAATCATCAAGATAGTGTCCATTTTATTATTATGATTTAGCAATTACATTCTCATTCATTATTCTCAACAAATCTGAATTTCAGGATTGAAATGAAAACACACAGGTTGTAAATGTACGTGTGTATGAGTGGGTGTGGAATGTGTGTGTTTATTAAAGTGGGGAGACCCGATTCAAGATGAATCAAGATGAAAATCCCAAATTTAATAAATATTATCTGAGCGTCTGGCATCCACAAAGGTGTGTCTTCACATGGTAATATAATTATAACTTTGAGTGTGTTTTTGTTCTTTGATATTTCTTTAAGTTGGCGTCTATAATGTTTTTTCTTCTGATTACAAACACTTGAAAATGACTCACTTTGGGTGTCTCCAAGCTCAGAGTGATTTAGTATCTGTTCAAGCACAGGAACAATAATAAGGATTTTGATATCACGGTAATATTCCTCCTTCTTCTCTTCTCCTCACACAGGGATTTAAAGTGGTCACTGAGATAATGATATTTTGTCTGACCTTCCGTTTCATGTTGCGCCACGAGAAAAAACAAAATGAAGATGAAAAAAAATGTCAGTTCTTCAGAGTCTTCCCGGTGCACGGAGAAACGGTGTAGATGAGGAAGGTGTCACGGTGAAAGGGAAGGTGTAATCAGATAAGCACCGGTGTTCTCTGTCGGGGAACGCAGTGGGAGTAATTGAATCTGTTTGTAAGAATGAAGTCTGGGCGGCGTCTTGGTTTTTGACTGTGATGAAGCTGGAACAAATGTAGCAAAGTTATTACAGCACGTCTGGCTGATATTTCCCTTCAACGTGAAACTTGCAGGTTTCAATATGTATTAATATCTCAAGGGCTCGGAAGGTGACACCTTATTATACTGTCATATCTCAGCTTTTTTTCCTTTGCATGTTTTGGATTTCATACAGAATGAGTGTGTGCTCTAACTTGTGTCTTAACATGCTGCTGTTATCTCCTGCACTCAATCTGACTTTTATTTAAAGCCACGTGATTTCCCCCCCTCCTCCTGGCCGACTTCACCTCACCTTTCCTCCCCCTTTGTTTATGTCCATCTGTTCCTCCTCCAGGTTACAGCCCAGCCTGGGAGGTGTGCAGTCTGCTCGGTCAGCAGGAAGGATACTCGGACCTGGAGGCTCGGCAGGAGCTTTTAGCCTTCTCTCTCACCCACTGTCCCCCAGACAACATCCACGGCCTCCTGGCTGCCTCTAGTGACCTGCAAACTCAGGTTAGTCTCTTTGGTATCGTCCAACTGGCTTTGACAAACATAGATTTTTATGGATCAAATCATCTATTGATTCACCCATATGAAGGATTCACACAACACATAAGGAATTGGGGGGGAGTGGGGCAGCAGGTGTGTAGAGGGATGAGTAGATCAAAAACTGCGATAAGAGCTCCTGCACACTGTCCAACTTGCAATCAGTGATTTGTTATGCTGCGTAGTTTCGGTACTCGACCTTCATCAGGCAATGAAAATAATTTTTAAAATGCTGTCTCAAACACAGATTTGTATCTATTAAACCTAATTCTGATGATGGTTTATAATTGAATCAAGTTAGCTCTGGTTCACAGCAATTTCTGTGTCCAATTTGCTTCAAAATACCATGGGACAAAGCATCTCAGGCAGTGGCTGAGAGAAGCAATTCACGGTTTGATGAATAGCTAATATAGAGAGAGAAACGGCAGGCGAGACAAATTAAATCATTCTGTTTACATAAGGAACAGGAGAGCAACACATATAACTGCTGAAGAAAGACAATAACATGAGCTTTGAACAAGAGGCTAATATCAGTTCTTTTACGCTAAGATGACCAAGAATTGTTCCTGTCTAAGATGCTGCAAGATGATTTGATTGTGCCACAAAACATAATGTAGGCCTAAGAAGGGAACATCACTTTTTGGTTGAATGTGTGACTATGAATGTAAATTCATGCCGAGTCATGCTTTGGTGTAAAGGGTCACCAGCTGAAGAGTTTGGGAACCTGTCATCCAAAAGACAGAAGAATTCCTTTTCAGTGCATTTCCTCGTTGTCTGCCTGCTCAAGCTGAAAGAGAGAATTCTTTTAAATAAAACAATGAAACCGTCTGCTTGTTGCCTTTTAGTCAACCGATTATAACCCCATCCAAGTTTTCCCATTATTGTTTGGCTGTGTAAGAAAATAACAAACTCTTCTCTTGTTCTCCCATCTTCCTCCGTCTTTCTGTTCTGCAGGTTTTGTACCAGGCAGTTAACTATCAAATGGAGCCTGTTATCACCGAGAGTGGACGAGAGGCTGATGAGACAGACTCTGTGAAGGTTTGTGTATTTTAAATTTCATATATACAGTGTATGTTATTTGGGGGCGCATTTATGAGCATTCTGCACGTCTGCTCTTTGTCTGAAGGACTTTCCTCTATTCCTGCGAGGACGTCTCTCTGTCCTTTCATTGTGTTCGTGTATGTTTTTCTATTGCTCCATATTTGATGAGGTGTAAATCTAGTGTTAAGGTTGCTCAGCTCTCTTGGTTTATTTATGCCTCCCCCTTCTCCTCCCCTTCAGCACTGCCAGCTTTATGATGCCTTTAGTGGCTGTTAATGTTTCATGACTTGCATTGCATCCCCTTTGTGTGTGGATAGCTTCTCATTTGTAGCTGACTGTTGTCATTTTACTGTTGTATTGATTTCCCTAATCCTCACTCGTCTATACTTAAGCCCTCTAGATGTTTGTGTGTGCGCACTCATGAGGTGGGTTTATTTATTTGTGCTTTTGTGTGTGTGTTTTTTGCTTTTTTATTTTTTTTACAAATGTCTTCACTGTTATGCGTGTTTGGGTTCCTTTCATTCCCTGACCCCCCAGTCCCCCTCCAAATTAAGTATTGATGAAAGGCACTAAACGATTTGGCTCCAGCCCACTGACCCTCTAAATGTGGTTGTGAAATTCTTTTCAATTGTGCCATATCCAATATACCATGGAAATTAGTGATGTGCTCACAAAAACACATTTGAATGTATTCACAGCCCAGTGCACCATTCATTTGTTCATTTATTTATTTTTAAAGGTCATGCAAGTAGTCAATCTGGGTAAGCAATATCTCTGTGGGTTCTTTTTTGTTTTTTAATTGAGAATTAAAGAATATATATACTTTGTCCTGCTTTGTGTTACAGGAATCATTTTTTGGGAGATTGGCCAGTTTCCTTTGGCATATCTTGTACTAATTTATTCCAGACGCTTGACTATTCCAAGTAACTCATAACCCTATTTCGTAGTAACATGTTTCTCCCAGTGTCAGTGCTAGCAATGTGTCTGCTAGCAGCATGTACTGCATAAAACTATTACCAAGCATAAATGTCCCTGTGTGAGAATATGATGAATAATGAATAATGGATTACTTTCCTAATTTGGTTAGGGTTGGCTTGTTTGGCTATTTAGATTTTTTGTGGTAATGCATTTATAATAATGAGATAAAAAACACACATATTAAGAATTAAAATACTGATTTGGCCATTGATTACCATGGCAACATCTGAAGCTTTGATTTTTCAAAGCATTTGGGTCCGCCTTTGGACCTCCACACATCCACAGTGATGTGAATAAACTGCACGAAATAGTAAATAATTCGGGGGCGAATTTTGACGCACCAGACTATTCACAATAGGCGTGACACAATATGGTGAATAAATTATAATGATTAAAAAGAAACAGGCCTCCGGAAAAAAAAGATGGAATCAGCATTGAGCGATGATGATCTGATAAAGATGAACTAACTTGGTACACCCTATGTAAACGACGAGATGAGAACTTTGTGTGTTACACTGCTTGAGTTAGCAGCTGCCACAACTGCTTCAGGATGAATTTCAAAATGTCCATCAGACACTATGGCTGCAGCAACTGCACCAAGATCATAGCTTTCTCTAGCATATTTCTTCTGCTGTTGATTCATTTTGTTCAACAGGAGTTTTGTCGCCTGTTGCAAGTCGGCTACATCATATCCTTTTAAAGACCAAAATAAGTCTGAACAATGGCTAATATTAACAAATATGTTGAATAAATCGAGAATTAATAATATGTAAAAAGATGTGTCTAGTGTGCAAACACCACCGAAGAGCAACTTTCCTAAAAACATCATAAATTGTTTGCGTATTCTGTACAAAAACAGTAGAATCAGTGAAAAAAAATTACCCTGTCCTTTTTTTTCATGATAACAGCCAATTGATTAAATTCCCCTTGTTTCTTCTCATATAATTATGCTAAGCTAACTGGCTGCTAGCTTGTGTATTTAACAGACAGATAAATGAGTAGTATTGGCCTTTTTGTCAAACACTACACAATAAATCACACAACTTAAGCCTTGAGAAACAAGCAGTTACATGTTCAAGGTGTTTAGGTCATTGAGGAAAAATCACAGAGCTGCTTTGAGTAATGAATTGGTTTTGTGCTTCTTGAGAGGTGCATTTTGTAACTGCACTATGCAGCACACAAACAAAGTGATATACAAATAGAGCCTAGCTCCTTTCAAGTGCTTAAGAAAAAGCAGAACACAACCATGCCTAATACCACACTGTAACATTACAGATGTAGTGATCACATAATTCCTCTGATGGTGCTTGTCATTTGCAAAAATGGAAGTGCTAATTCAGGATAAAGTCAAGTTGTAAAGAAATCTCTGTTGCCTTCTACTGCAGAGACGCCAGCCTGACATATCAGAATAACATATTTTCCTTTGCTTTCAACTGCGTGGCTCCAGGCTTCTGCTCCAACTGTGGGGACCGCGGGGGACCTGCTGCACCGGACTACAGCCAAGACCATGAAAGTGCTGACCACTACAGGACTGACCACGAAAGCTGTGCTGACCGCAGTCAGCGACCACCGCTGGTGGAAAGAATCAATCAACTACCTGCGGCCGTTGCACGTAAGAACACTTTCACTAGTGTCTTTTTAATTTACATGACCACTAGTGAAGAGGATTTCCACATCAGGGACAGTAAATTTCCCAGAGTGAACTAATTAAGTGGGTTTATATGCCTGTGGGCTTTTGTGTTGTTGTATTGACCTAAGTGTGTTTGTGAATGCATGTGTCGTAAAAAGACATAATCAGGCCTATTGGCCTCCTGGCTGCACAGTGTATGTGTGCTTCCCAGGGCTGGGCGATATGACATCAAATCAATATCATGATTATTTCAAACTTTTATCTCGATTATGTTTAATTTCTGAGTATTTTACACCCACCCCCCAAGGATCGTGATCTGACAAACGTGTCTCATAAACTCAACAGCGAATCAAACAAACACAAAGTAAAATTACGTAAAAGTACGTGTCCTAATAACTTCTGATTAGTGATGGTGTTTATTGATAATGTGCAAAATGAGCGCAGATCAGTGGGGGACTTAAGAGGGAGGACAGATATGTGGTGGGGTCATACAGCAACAAGGTTCGTGAATACATTCATTGGGGAAAGTATTAACCGAATAAATGAGCAAGATTAAGTTGGTTAGGGGCTGTAAATGTCGGTTTCGATATATTTTCGGTTAATTGCCCAGGTCTACTGTGTCCCATTCCTCTCACCCTCCTCCTCACAGACCTCATATGCTGTATCCAAAAACAACCAATCAAGAGCTCATCTCTTGCATAATTGATTTGCTCGCCTGTTGGATATCTGATTGTTGCCGGCGGCTGGACCGGTACAGTGGTTGCCGTGGCGGGGAGAGATTAATGGCATCTCTGGTCTCTGCATCCCTTTGTGTATCTGTGGTGGGTGGGGTGGAGGGTGGGAGGGCTGTTGCTCGTGGTCACAGGTTTCGAAAGGAAAGAGAATAAACGGAGAGGATGTCAGCTGTGGGACAGAGAGAGATGACAGTGCTGTGGGCACGTTGTGAAAGTTTAATGATGTTATGATGGCTCCTCAGGGTCAAGACGCGGGGGCCACCAGTCAGGAAGGGGCGCGTGAGAACTCAAACCTGGAGCATCAAGGCTGTAGTCCCTTTTATCAGGAGCTCATTGAGGACCCCTATGCAGACCTGGTGAGTGGCTAGTGGCTCATTATTGCCTCTTCCTTTTATTTCTCTTGTCCTTTTTTTCCTCCCTCAGTCTACCTTCTTAAATTAAAGCAAAAAATGCCTGAGTAGCTTTATGACTCAAGGCATTTAATTAGACCCCCCCCCCTCCCCCCCATGACTTATAGATTCCTTCAAAAAACAGTGCTGAGACCAAATGAATATTGATTTCAGTAAGTAATTTTAAATTCAAAAGCAATTTGGAACAGTGCTTTCCAAGAAAAGAAGAGTAAACTTAGGCGTGACGGTATAATAGCGACTAAAATTAGAAATGTGGTTAAAGGTATAAAGCCCCAAACGGAAGGAAGGATGTTGACAGAGGGAGTATAAAGGAAGTAAAAAGGAAAAAAAGTAAGAAAAGGAGTAGTTTGACCTTTATGCCTAGAAAATGGTCGCCCTGGGCTATGACTGGGCTTTTTACTCAGAGGCACAAATCATGTAGATAGCTAAAAGAATGGACGCGAGGGGAAACAGAGAAGGCCGATACATCTCTTCTCATGACATTTTAATAGGCCTCTTCGAATCCTTTCCTCTGCTCCATCTCCAGCGCTCATCCATCTTGCATCATCCATCCACCAATAATGGCTCCCCACGTCCTTCTGTCTATGAGCCAGCTGATCAATGGGATTGTTTTTTTTTTTACCTTAACACTTTCAATGAGGGAAGTGGGGCGGGGGGTAGGTAGGGGCTGATTGAGAGAGAAAGATAGACAAATGCAACAAGACAGAGAGATGGATGGATGGATGGAGCGAGAGCGGGGGAGATTGACAGGAAACATTCAGTGTTAAAGTGATAGCTCTGAGGCCTGTGAGAACCCAAACGTCATTGTTCACCTCTCCAGCACTTGAAAGATTACTCGCTCTACACGGATCCTTTAAAGGAATCATCAGAATACCTCAAGTTGAGAAGTATTACTTGGCTCTGTAGTTCATTTGTTTACTCAGTCGCTCATCTGTCCCACTTCCTGACAATTACAATCCTCTGTCACCTTAATCACATCTTCCTTTGCCATTTTTTTTCATCTGCTCTTCTGTACTGTGGGGACGCCTTCACTGTATGTGCTCTTCTCAATTGTTTCCCTTGTAGAGTCAAGATGTGTATTCATCCTACAAAGACCTGCCCCAGGAAAACTTTGCTGAGGTTTTGCTGAGAACTGGGAAACTGGCCGAGGCCAAAACTGAAGGAAAAACCCTGTTTCCTGCTACAGAGGGTAAGCAGATAACACACACACACACACACACACACACACACACATACAAAAGGAATGTTTAACATGTGTAACATAAACCTTTTACCTTAAATTTTAACCCCAACCTCTCATGCCAGGGCCCCTATAGCACTTGTTCTGTACATCACAACCTCTATTGGAGGTTTTACTAAACAACCATGCCAATGTAAAGGATGCATTTGAAACTGACATCTCTTTTCATACATATAGGCAGCATAAACCAGCCTTAAGACTAATTTTAGACTGACTGACCAGAGCTTATTTTAGAATGGGATCAGACTTTCCCACAATGTTTGTTTTTTTGAGTCTGTTTTTTATTTGTCAGTTTGAGCAGCTTCACAGTCTGATTCTCCAAATGACTGCAGTCAAAAAAGTCGTACTTTACATGTTGTAACTGGAGCCTTCTTTAAACAGATCTTTTGTCACAGTACAGACCATCTGTGTAGCACTCTTGAGGATTTCTTGTTGTTGTTTGTTGGAATAATTTTTAGTATGAGTTCAAAAATGATCTAAATATCCATTTTATTTCCCAAACTGTTCTAGTGCACTGTACACTCACTGAGCACTTTATTAGGAACAACTGTACGCCTTCTTATTTGCGCTTTTACTAAATGTGGCCACAGTGCAGTGCATCAAATGCTCTAAATAAAGGTCAGTAGCTTCAGTTAATGCTCAGAGCAAAATAAAAAATGTGGATAAAAATATGTCTGATATATTCACATGTGCCAGTCCCTAGAGTTTATTCAGAATAGTGACAAAAATAAAAAGCATTCAGTGATATTCCTGTGAGCTGAAAACCCTCCACAACTGCGGTGAGTAGGAAAAACTCTGGAGGTCGATTATCTACAACAGCAGAAGACCAAATCCCCCAAGAGCAGATTTTTTTGGAATGTCTCTAACTGGTTTATGAACATGACAGTGAGTTCTGTCTGACTTAGATCTGGTGACTGGTTTGGCCACTGAAGTTCACAGAACACCTGTGGGATGTGGTAGAGCAGGAGATTGGCAGCGTGAAAGTGCAGCTGACAAATCTGCAAAAAACGATGTGACGCACACATGTCAACATGGAGCAGAAACTCAAAGAAAAGTTTCTGACATCTTGTAGAATCCTTGTCACATAGTGCTGAGGCTGTTTCGAGTGAGAAAGGAGGAACTAACCCATTAATATATTTTAATAAAGTTCTCACAGAGAGTTTGAATATTTTGTGCACATTTGAGCCCTTCCATGTATTTGGCGACCTCCTCTTTTTTTTTCTTAAACTGTGAATTAGAACACGATCTCAAAGTGTTTGAGGAAGAGTGAGTGAGAATTATTTAATTCGAGTTTCTCAGGGCTTAGTTTCAGTGAATCTATCCTCTCCTGCCTCCTCTCCTGTCTCCTCTCCTCTCCTTTCCTCCATCTGTCCAGCTGGGGACTCCCTCTATATGGTGGACTCGGTTGGAAGAATAGCCTCATCCTGATTAATTAATGTATCCCCACGTATCCCCCGGCAACAGTAAATAATGACACCGTCACCGGCGCCGCAGCAGAGAGATAGCATCAAGTCAAAACATCAAGGCCATGTTGCGTGATGGATCACAGCAGCTCGCCAAAATCAATGGCACTACAAAAATATAGAGCAAACGTGTGTGTGTGTATATGTTGACACTGAAGAATGCAACCTACCATGGAGTGCTTCTGACACACACACATAAACATGTTCACACACCCACATGTTCCACCAGATCAGAGCCCTCTTTCCTAACTGCCGTCTTTCAAAATAATATCTCTCGCCTTAAAAGTCACCTTCCCCTCTGAGCTGCCGTGGAGTGCGACGTGTTGAGAAAGGGAAAAGCCCATCCAGACGGCATTGCGTCTGATAACAACCTTCGATTAATGACTCCTCTAAGGAGCAACGCCGTCCGTCCTCAGAAACAGACTGGGAGATGGCCTTTAAAAAAACCAAACAAAAATAAATACATTGATTTTTCACCTGTCCCAGATAAGGTGCAGGTAATTAATGATGACACGAGTGGAAAGTAACTCAATGGGATTGAGCAGAGTAAAGTGCAGACACAGGGACTCGGTGGGAGGGAACACACACACACACACACACACACACACACACACACACACACACACACACACACACACACACACNCACACACACACACACACACACACACAACATGGAGCTGCTGTCATTGGTCACGCCTTGACCAGGCTGTAATCAGTTGTTTTTCACGCTGGCTGCACAGGTGAAGTAGTAACAAGTCACTGTCTCACCGTTCTGCTAACAATGTGCTGATTTAGCTGACACAGGAGCAGGACACACAGACACACACACACACACACACACACACACACACACACAGACACACACACAGTCCCATGCACCCACTCCTTTTCTCTCTCCGTTTTTCTCCCTGTCTCTCACACACTAGCAGAAATACCATATGCTTTAAAGTCAGTGCTATCTATTCTGTGTGTGTGTGTGTTTGTGTGTCTGCATGGGTGTGTGTGTTTACCCCTCTGGTAATTCCTGTCCCGATGGTATCAGTAGCTTTAGAGAGGCGTGTAATCAGCTCATTCTGAGGTGTAGCTCATTGAAACCCGGGAGGTAAGAGAGAAGGGGATGAAAAAAAAAGAGAAAAGGCGGATCGTGGGCACTCTGCTTAAGAGAGCTGTTACACTTCTTTAAACTGGTGCATCACCCCCCCAATACATGCACACATTGAATCTCCACACTATAAATATCAGGTATCAACCCCGCGTGTGCACATGTGCCGAACAGTGTGCATTTTGTTCTGCAGTGTACATGTCTCTGCCTTTGCCTCAGTCTCTCTCCCAGTGTCCATGCTCTACTTTTCTCTGTCTGTTCTATTTTGTCTCAGGCTCTTATCACCAACACAGGCTTTTGTTCTCCTTGGGTCTGGGACTACAAAGTGATTCTGTCTGCGCTGCTCCTCTCTTCTCTCTCCTCTTCTCTCTCCCACTGCTTTCTCACATCGACCGAGTGAGTTAGTGAGTGATTAAAGATGGGAGTCTGTGTGTTTACAGCGTTTGGGGTTTTGTCTAGTAAATCTACTTCTTCAGTCATATCAGTACGAGTGTGATCGTTTGTGTGTGTGTGGGTGTGTGTGTCCTAATGTGTGATTGTCGGGCCCTGAGGCCACAAGTTTGGGATAGAAATCTGTCCCTGTGCCCAAACTTCTGTCTTGACTTCAAATCCCATCAGCCTTAGTGGCATTACAATAACATGGGACGTGTTCCAGTTCAACACTGTACATAATTCTAAACAAGAATTGAGAATACAGCGTCCACATTTGAGAGAAAAAACGTGACATCGAACAACTTTTGATTTGTAAATTAGCGCTGTTGGTGAACACTGTCATCCCACAATGCAACGCACAAAATAATTGGCGGCGCTGCTCACAGCTGCGGAGCATTAAAACTAATTGCAGATGGTTATAACGCAGCTTGAGAAAATGTTTGGATGTTTGGAAAACATCTTTTTTGCTCTTCATGAGCTTTAATTGGCAGTGGCATTCCAAAAGTTGCCATTTTATTTATGTCCACTGGCGCAATTTTTGCATAATTTGCTGTTTGTACAAAACGACTGAGTACATTAATTTATTTTCTTGCTAGTTGCAAAGTTGTTTATCATATCAATAAATGTATAGTTGGACAAAATAATCACAGCTTTAATTTCAATAAATAACTTTCGAGCTTTGAAGCGCATCACAAGGCTTTCATCAGCAGATGGATTCTGCCTGTCATTGAAATAGAACTATTAAAGGCAGTACGATTTTCAGTCACGATTAATCGACTGTTTATCTTCTTGATTAATCAATTGATTGTTTAGTCTATTAAAGATCAGTGATGTGTAGAATTTTAAGGAAAACACAAAATATTCCTATTTGACATGGTCGAACCAGTCGCGCTATTGTTTTTCATTTGTGTATCAAAATGTTTGTAGTGTTTTGAGTTCATCTATAATTGTGGAACAAAAAGCTTTTAAATGGACAGTGAATTAGTCAGATTAATGAATTCTTACCACTATTTCAAATTAAGTAATCGATCTAGTAATTCTGGAAATCTCTTTCTTTCTGTCTGTCGCTGGCATATCACAAGAACCGTTCATCTAATTGGTTTCACACTTGGCCTGTGTATTGTCAGGCCAAGGTAGTGCAGTGTCAAATTGTGTGTGGTTTGTACAGGACAACAGCGTGTTCACAACAACAGCTGATCCTCCAGAATCACGGTTCTGTTGTGCTGAGTCCTATTATAGCTGAATCACCGCAGGTCACTTTTACAGTATTACAGGCCAAGCAAACAGACAGGTTTAGAATGAGTACATACACATGCACAATTACATAGAATACTGTCTGCAAGTCATATGCATTATGGAACTGGGACACAGCAGTGATTTGTCCAAGGGAACCTTCAGGTAGAAACTACTTATTCCCAGCACGATGCCCACGGCCAGATCACTGAATTAAACAGACAAGTGAAAACCCGTGAAACACGGATCGTATGTGATTCCTATAATCAAACTCTGCTTCCTGTCTTTGCTGTCGATAGATATGCATGAGCTAATTTGACATTCAGGGGACTCGACTTTAAAGTGCACTTAGATGAAGTTTGGACTCATCTGGAGAGCACTTATTACAAGTGGGCATGTACTCTTTGAATAATAAATGCTGCTCTGTGCAAGAAACCATGTGCATGCAGGCACAGACACACAACCAGTCGGTGCCTGTACACAGCATATACAAACACAGTCAACACAGACGTGCACACAATAGCCCAGAGACAAGATGGACACAATCCCAACATGGGACAAGAGTCATCCAAAAGAGGAGGGATGGGAGAGGGGGTGGCGGCTGTTAATCCTCAGTGCTTTAGTTAAAGTCTTTTCTTCCCCCTCTCTCTCTTTTTCTGTCTCTCCATCTCTCTCCACCATCCCATTCCAGTTCTGCTGCAGCTGGCCAATGATGCATTTCCCAGGGACATGATGCTGGCTCTGTCCTACTTACTGGCCCTGCCTCAGGTAGGTGGACACACACACACACACACACACACACACACACACGCACATGCACAAACACGCACACACACACACTCTCACACACACACACACACACACACACACACATACTTTTCTTACACACGGGAACATTTTTATTGTAGTGAGATTCTGACAAATGGCAGTTAATCCATATCTTCTATTGATCTTTTAAGTTTCTAGATTTGCTTCAGTCACACTTAAAGGTCACTGAAATGCTATTCGTCACAGAACACGTGTCATAATCCGAGTAGCAGCATGTCTCCCTCAGTTCAGTCAACACACATGCTTTAATCTTGCCCACCTCATATTGTGTTGCTCCTGGAGGCCGTTCCTAGTCAGATGTCAAAATAAAAGTCTGATATTCTCATGGCTACCATTTCTAAACAGCAGTAGATTGTGTTCATGTGGAGGTAGTGAAATCCCTCATGAGTCTTAATTCTTGCTGCATCACCAGTGAAAGTAAAGGATGTTACATAGACATATCTGCAGAGCTTGTTTGCTCCAATCAGATTAAAGTGACATGAGTGACAAAAGTGAGGGATCTGCATGTCATGATTGATACACAGGGCTTGTTGGCTTATTCATGGATGTTTCAGAATTGTTGGAGAACAGGAGCATTTAATACTTTCCTCACATTTTCGTCCATCACAGCAAAGTGTATATTCAGATCATGACAGCATCTCTGATACTTCTCTTCTTATATTTGTCATATTCAGGTGTTGGATGCAAACAAGTGCTTTGAGAAACAGTGTCACTCTGCCTTGTCGCTCCAGCTGGCGGCTTACTACTACTCCCTGCAGATCTACTCCCGCCTTAAGCCCTGCCTCAAAGACAAAAACCACACTCTGTACCAGGTTAGTGTGTGTGGGTGTGTGGGTGGATGGGTGGGTGGATGGGTGGGCAAAGGAGGAGCTGGGTATCATGAATTTGAATCTTTCTGGTCACTTCAACCCTGATGCCCAGGCTGTGAGCATCTCATGTTGAGTGTGGCAGGTAAACTGTGTGCACACAATATGTTGGGCTTTCTTTTCAATGTGTTGAAATGTGTGACCTCTAAATTCTAGAGCTAATTAAACAAGCACAAAGTAAACTTCAAGTACTATTCAATATAACAGTTTATTAAACAATGAGAGCGCAGGCCAGCAGAAGAGCGGGCCTAATGTGCGTCTGCCCGAATCCTGAAGCATCAGTGACCACAGTAAACATCCAGCAACGGTTTCGCGGCAAAATGTACATAGCAGAAACTCACAGCAATGAAAAAACCTCTTAACAACTTAAACCAACCAGCTAACTTTTTACCTGAAGAGAGTGATGAAGTTGCTTCATCATCCATGGTTCAACTTCTTCAGGCGCTGGCTGCAGGGATGGTAAGAGACATAAACACTGCTGCCGCATCTCCTTGGGCTAGATGTGTTTACCTGGACACCTTTGCATTTCACATGCTGCATGTGCATCAACTCGACTCGACTCAACACTGAACTTTTAACTTTTGAATCCACCTCACATGTTATTTGAAGACTGTTATATTCCCTTTCTTACAAAATTATGAAAATAATAAGCAGAGAGGACAGGAACTGGCAAAGAGAATTTATGAGTAAGAAGAAGAGGAAGGAAAGTGCTGGCAAAAGATTGGCTGCATCGTGATTGGAGGAGAATAAAGAGAAGAAATGGCTCTGACCTTTTCCTTGAGTTGACTGTGGCTCTCGTAGATTTTAGCCCAGGTGGAAGGAGGGGAAGTGAAATGTTGAAATAAAAGAACAGAAGAGGGAAAGAGGTCAGCAGAAGAAGTGGATAAGTGCTTCCCAGTTGACATTCAAGGTCAGGACTGTGCACAATAACATGTACTGTACTTGTTCTCAACATTGCACACATCCCCACACACTCTGACACATCACATCCTAAAGGCAGCAATCAGTCCCCACGTCCATTACTTTAATATATATTCAGCTTTTGTCCTTTGCTCTATAATTTGGCATTTGTACCTCCTTTTTGCTGATTTCCTCCTTTTTTTATCTCTAATTTTCTTTGAGTTCTTTTTACTTTTCAATGTGCTCTACTGCAGTGAGTGCTTGTTATCGTTCTGTTCCAGGTCTTGCCTTCACTCAGCTCTTAATGATGAGTTAGTGGCAACTTTTACTCTCACACGATAGACGCAGGAGGGAAGAAAACCTTTCAACCCTGAATTTTTTTTCTCTTTCTCTCCTCCGCTATGTCCCTCTCCTTTCCTCATTTTTTTTCTCTGCCGTTCGGGTTTAAAGAATTGCTTTGTTGGCATGCCAGTTCTGTTTTTAAGTGTCTCCCTGCTACTTCTTCCTGTCTACATTATGTTGCTTTTCCTCCTATCATTCAGCCCTCCACTCTGTTTATAGTCTTTCCCCCCCCCCCATAGGCCTGTCTCGCCCTTGTCGAATCTCGGGACTCTCCCTCCACAATCCTATCTTGACTGTGCATGCTTTATACATTTCTCTTGTGCCTTCTTTTGCACTCTCGCTTTCTCTTATCTTTTGAGGGCACGCATTGTACGGCGTGTGATATTTAATTTCAGATATGTAGGAATTTTGTGTGTGTGCTTGGTTTGGATTGTACGTTAGGTTAGCAGGAAAAAAAACATGACAGATACATAAACAATTAGTACTTTTTACACCTTTGTACAATATGTGCAGGTTGCCTCATTTGCACTTGACTGTTTGGTAACGCCTTTGCATGCTTCAGTCTAAGATCTGTTTTCATGTGACTGCGTGTGGTTGTATTGTGTGAGTGTGTGTTTGTGTGTGTGTGTTGTGGTGTGTCAAACTGTCTCAGAGCGTTTCCCGCTCTCCACTTGAATAGCAGTGTGTCTCAATAACTCTCACGCTCTTTCAATTCTCTTGTCACTATCGCATAATTTCATACCCAAGCAGTAACAAACCAAACATTCAAGCCGCTGAAGTCATTCAGTCGCAAATAGGAACAGAACCCTCGGAGGGTGTCCTCGAGGTGTTGATGTGTTTTTGAAACCTCAATCATCAGACTCTTTCCTCGCTATTTAGTAGGTAAGAAATGTTTTGGAACTAAAGCTAGATCTGTGAAACATACGGTGAAAGAAACAGTTAGATTTAAGACATTTTTGGCACATGTAGTTAGTTCTATAACATAAAATGTTTGTAACACGCAGTTAAAGTCTAAATAAACATATCCATATCAGATCTACTTCAGTTAAGCTGTTAATAATCTAAATGTACATACAGTCGTACATAAGCATTCTTATCATAAACAGCAACCAACAACCAATAATGTCCTCATAGCATCGTCATAAATGAGTATACAGGGAACACAGTGAGCTCCTAAACAGACAGTTTTTCATTAGTGAAGCACATGTGAAATTTACATAGCAGGGTGCAGCTTAATCATCCAGTACTTTTAATTAGCTTAGGACGAATGACCTGTCATTTTACAAATGCCACATAGCCTGTTGAAAATATAAAGGAAATTAAAGGAAATTGCTCCATAAGCTCTTACCCTCTCTCCATAAACTCTTACCCTACCTACCCCTTACAATCAATCAAGCTTTCCCAAATTTCACACACTCATAGATATTAGTCCCCTAAATTTGCCTGATTTTTCTTTCATCAAGATGCATGAATGATTCCCTGGCAAATCAGTAAGAATGTCAAAAAACACCCTCTCTCAAGGTTGAAGAAGTCCTGGATCTGCCCCTTGATCTGGATCTGCTCCAACAATTTAGTTTCCTCCCTGACTCTTATCACATCCTTCCACTAAGTTTCTAGGTTATCTGCTCAGTAGTTTTCGTGTATTCTGTCTGACTTACAAACGTAGATGAAAACATAACCCCCATGTAGGAGTAGTATTATAGGAATGGAGTGGCCAGCTGAATTTAGATAACAGGAAATGTTGTCTTGACCCTGGGATCAATTGTGCACTACACTTGCGGTAATGCTTGTCAGCTAATCTGAAAACAATATACCGATGTGTAAAATGTATCATGTAGCACATTAGTTAACTTTATTGATCCCTGTGGATAAATTTGCCCTCTGGTTTTGACCCCTCCTTCTTCACCTATTTAACAGCAGTGGGTAGCAACAACACAGCCCCGGGAGCACTTCAGGTTTTGAGGCCAGTATTTGACTGAGGGGAGTGACCCCAGAAACACACAGAACTTACATGCATACATATGTATACGTATGTATGTATTTTAGACCGTGAAAGAAACCCCACACGGAAAAAACAAAGCTCTTATGTTATATAAATGTAAAGGTAAAATTATCGCCAAATCTGTTTGTTGGAAATCTATCACATTCATAAAATGTTACTGCCACTGGATGCTTGAATATCCTTTGGGATCAATAAAGTATCTTTCTATCTATCTAAAATAACATGTATGATATAATACAATCATATAACAATCACAGTACAGACATTGATTTGCCATCCACTAACATATTACAGATTTTCCTTTGTGTTCATGTTGTTTTTTACTTGCATTTCTTGCCGTGTCCCCATGTACCAGCTTTCATTTGTGAGTACAGCTTTATAATAACCAATACATGTAATGGCCAAAAATGATAAAGCCTGAGTTGCTCATAGAAAAGCTTTCAGTGGAGTGCATGCCTCTGCCAAGGCCAAAGAACCCCACTAGTCAGTCAAGCTCTTATAAAATGAAAAAGGAAGTAGTCTGATAATCTGCACCAAATTGTACAAATTTATAGATCTTAACAAACATAAATGTTTTGTACATCGAGGATCCACACACTGATGAACAGCATATAACTAAAAATTCCTGGATTTGGTCCTTTAACCTGACCGACACCATAATTTGATGGATTCTTCCTTGGCTCCTGCTTCTTCACACATTAATTTTGGTGCAAATCAGTACTTTTTGCCCAAACCTTGCTGGAAAATAAACAAACACCAACCAAAAACAAAATCCCTAACCTCTGAGATTGAGGTTAAAAACTGGAATAAGGCTTCATCCTTACCTCTTTCCCTCTGCTCCCCTTTAATAATTCAGACACCTTTAGTATGTTTGCCCCAATCATTAAAGATCATTCTTACACAAGAATGGCATGCACCCAGTACAGCATATACCTCGGCTAAGGCCCAACTCAATCAAGCTGCACCAAATTCACACACTCATAGATATCAGTTCTCTATTAATTATTCAATGTCAAATGTCAAAACATCTCACAAGATAAAAAGTTCCTAGATTCGCCCCTTTGTCACAAATCCGTGCCAAGATTTAATGTCGAATTCTTCTACCAAAGTTTGTAGAAAGCTGTTAATTAGTTTTTGTGTAATGACAAACAATAAACCAATAAACAAACAAACAGGGACATGGAAACATATCCTCCTAAGCAGAGGAAATAATTGATTAGTCTGAAAGGTTTGCAATTATGCAGGTCTGCCATCATATTCTACGTATTAATGCTCAACCCTTTTAATCTAGGGATATATTTCTTTTCTAATTTTAATATACTGCTCTTTCAACTCAAATGCGGTCTCACGATCTTGTGTTACCCAAAGGCAAAGAGGTCTACAACACTCAGCCCTCTGCTTCTAGAAGATTCTGTTTCCCACCATTGACTTTCAAGGTCTTAAACTGTTACTCTCCCATCCGATTACACCTCCGAGGCATGACGGAGCAGCATCAGGCTCAGTGACATGGAGGCTGGGTTTTCCATTATTCCCCGAGGCATAATGAGCCGATTTCCACTCGCTCGCATTGAAAGTTTTCATTATACAGGGCTGAAGTGCCTGTTTGCGAAATAGAGGCGCTCTTTACCATAATTGTACGCTGGTGGTGTTCACACGATGCTGCGCGTATCGGCCATGTTTATTTAAAGGGCTACGGTTTGTT